GATAAATAATTCGGTAAATATTTACAAGTGGGGTCAACGATTTTAATTTTCATTTTATTTAACGAAATTTCTATTTGGTTTTATTCATATATTTTTTTTTTTTTGGAAAATACATAAAAAATGAACAATTTAAAAAAAAAATTAATTATTACAATTAAAAAAAAATTTTTTTTTAATTTATCAATTTTTTAGAAAATTGTGATATTCAATTTTTTTTTAATTGTTCATTTTTTTATGAACTTTTCAAAAAAAATTTCAAAAAAAGATAAAATAAAAATTTTATCCAAAAACAAAAGCCAAAATTTTTTTCAAACTTTTGAAGGCAAAAAAGCTACCAAAATTTTTATTTTTTTCCTTCACGACATTTTTTATCGTAAAAAAAAGCAGAATAAAAAAAAATAGGGTTGACCCACTTGTAAATAATTACCAAAAATATTATATGTAAAGTAAAAACAATAAACCTTCATACAATCATATACATATCCCACACAGACTTGTTACAATAAAAATTTTTTAGTTAATTAATTGTTCTCTGTACGAACAATTTTTTATTACAATACAGTTGTGTATAAATGACTGGAAAATATGGAAAAGACAGTATTTGTCTAGATAAAAAATTGAAATAGTGTTCCCACGGGACTATTACCAGAAAATTTAGTAAGTCTTTGAGATAAAGATTTACAATTTTATTTAATTGTAAACTTTCTTGACTCTGTATTTGTATCAATGTTAATATTATTACTAGTAATGATCGATGATCAGTAATAATTGAAAAACAAAATTAGTATTATTGATAAATTTAAATAAGCGTTAGTCATATGAAGGCAAGCCTCTATCGAAGAATAATCAGCAAATGCTCTGAATAAATTGGTCGAAATTACATAAATATTTTATTTGTTAAATAATATTTAAAACCTCTAAATTAGATTTTAATAATGACAATAATTATCAAAGTATTTTATGTAAACAGGTTATCTGTTGAGGTCGAGTGTACTGGTGATGAAGAGATCAGTTCTTTCGTATGAAATATAGTATTAAATATTAATAATAATAATAATAATAATAGAAATAATAATAATAATAATTACTGTGAAAAAAAAACCTTTAACGTTAAACGATTAAAAGTACTAGGTGTTCCTTATTTTGTTTAATAAATATAAAAATTTATTCCAGCAGTCCGTCGATATTTTAATCGGCCGTAGTAATCAGTAATACCACAACAATATTCCAGTATCATTGGTAATTGGTATTTCGTTGACAATAATGAGGACAGATTTGTATTTAATAATAATAATAATAATAGTAATAACGCCAGCAATTAGCTGCTGGCATTTTTAAATTCAACTTCGCGGCAGTCGCGACAAAATGGCTGATTGATCTTCGGATATTTTTTGTGGACTATTTCGATTCTTGGATAACGGCGACGTTGTTCCTGTCGACACACTGTTGTTCTTGGTTGGTGATAACTTTGTTGCGTTTTTCGAGACAAAGTAAGTCAGTCTTGTTGGCAGTGAGCCTTGGTTCAGTTGGTAGAAATTAACCAGCTGAACAAGGTCTAAAAACTTTGTCGTTCCGTTGTCTAACGTGAAAATCGGCTGGCTTGACGTCTCCCGTGTTATCTATAAATAAAATTTTTTTTATTTATTATTTATCAAAATAATAAGTATTAAGGGCTACATTCGAAAATGCTCTATCTCTAGACACATATTTAAGAAATGACCTTGTATTTTGAGAACTATTGACATTTTTAAAAATATAAGCTCATCCCGATGTTACACTCATCAAGAGCTTTCATTTGAGTACCCACATCAATTTTTCATATATTTTATATATTTATATATTTCACAAATATCATATATATAAAATATATAAAAAATGCCATGTGGGTACTTGAATGAAAGGTCTCGATGAGTGTAACATCGAAATGAGTTTATATCTTAAAAAATGTCAATAATTAAGAAATAATCTTGTATCTTGTGAAATATTGACATTTTTCAAGATATAAGCTCATCCCGATGTTACGCTCATCGAGACCTTTCATTTGAGTACCCACATCAACTTTTCATATATTTATATATATTACATATATGTATATATGAAAAATACATAAAAATGCATGTAGGTACTCAAATGAAAGCTCCTGATGAGTAGAACATCAGGATGAGCTTATATCTTTAAAATATATATTATCTATATGTATATATGAAAAATATATCAAAAATGCATGTGGGTACTCAAATGAAAGCTCTTGATGATTATATCATCGGGATGAGCTTATATCCTAAAAAACGTCAATAGTTAAGAAAGTACAGTGCAATTTAACAAAAATCATTATTTAATAAAGCAAAATCTTAATTTTTTTACTGCAAGATTGTTAGTGTTTTTATTATTTGCAAAGACCAATTTAATAAACTTTTATATAAAAGCGATAAATTTAGGAAATTAATAAAATAAATAATAAAAAAAACTTACAATTGGAGTGTGTACTGGTTTATCCTCGTGTACGTAGGTTAAAACAAACTGGTATCCATTATTACTTGTACTTTCTCTCACGAGGAATGTGCTGGAAAAATATAAAATAATAAATAAGTACATTCAATTGTTTTATTGTAATAATAATAAATATAACGTAGATTGAAGAGTTATTGAATAAAGGCTGTTATTTTACGAACCGGAAAAGTATAAAGTTAAATAAAATAGAATAATAATAAGACATGGTCCACTAGAAATGACTATCATCATAAATGGGTCGAATATAAAAGTTGGCGAAAGTAATAAGATGACTATAAAAAAATTTTTAAAAGCTTGAGACTGAGTTTACTCGTAAAATTGATTGCTTCACAGCTGTGCGAATGTTAAATCTCAAAGAGTGCTCGGTTATTCATTTTTTTTTGTTTCTTTTTTTATCACTTCTCTATACTTTCATTCTGTCGTTTAGATTCTTTAATTAGTTGAGCGTACTCTACGAGTTAAATGACCGTTAATATTAAAATAAGATAGAGTCATTATTTTTATTGTGAGATTTATAAATCACTGAGGAGTGATGAGTTTTAAAAAATTTCAATTAACGCTCATAATTATAAAAAGATTTTTTTTTCAAAGGAACTTTTAGGTTTTAATTAGACGTAATTAATTAAATAATAACAATAAAAAATGAGGATTTGATTTAGTAAGTAAAAAATTTATTTTTTTTTTTTTGGCAATAATTTATTTGGTAATATATATGTGGGTAAAAAAATAAATAAATAATGAGAAATGAAAGAAAGGATTTGTATTGAGATTTAGAGGGAAAAAAATTGGATCCATTCCAAATAAACTGAGCATGAGAAAAAAGATTTATAGCTCACAGAAATCATGGCGCGATCAATAAAAATATAAAAAAAAAAATAAAATAGTGGTTGGTAAAGTTGATCGGGTTTGAAAGAAATAAAACTAATACAAGGGAGGATTTTTTTTGTATGTTACGAGGAACAACAGAATGATCGTAATTATCATTATCATCATCGCTTGGGGCAACTATAATTTAGCAACGGCAATAATTTGTCCAATGTAATATTACTATTTGTTAAGCATAGTAATTTCTGGGATCTATGCGGAATAACCGTAGAATAATATAAGAGACAGACGGTACTTGGAAACGCATAAAATAAAGCTAAATAGTTGGATACTTAAATTATTACCAGTAATTCATAAACTTTTTCCCAAGGTACATATATTTTTAATGAGAGATTGTTTAGTTATAAATTATATTTAATTGCAGTTTGTATTCAAATTTGTCAGTAGTTTTTACACAGAAAAAAAAAACATTTTTAATTAACTTTAATCCCTAAAAGTAATAATTTATAATCGTTAATTTAAACTTTAAAATTCAGTTTAATTTTCGCAACACGCATGCGTTATTCCTCCTCTATACTCTAATAAACAAAGTAACCCAAAAATTGAATTAATTTCTAATTAAAAAAAAAAAAAAAAAAAACAATTGAATCAAGTAAAATTTATTTAAATAAAGAAAAATTTCTTAATTTTTTCTACTTAAATAAAGAAGATGGAATTCTCCAAAACTTTTTTTTTTCTGTGTAAGAAATTTATTTTTTCAAATTTTGGCAACGCGATTTTCTTCTTAGAAATTTACTACCCAAGTCATATATAAATTCGAGCAATTTTTGCTCCGCAGTAAATCACTGAAATATAGTTCAAATAAATTACTACTAACATTTAATAAGGCCGTTAAATTTTTAAGATCGAAGCTCTGAAAGTTATGGGCTTTTAAAAAAATTTATTGTTTTCTTTTGGGATCATATTTTTTACGACTCAAGCCTCAGTAAACTAAAAGTAACGAAATAATCTACCCTTGAAGGAAATAAACGTACTTGAAATTTTCAAAAAATCAATTTATAAATAAAAAAAAGAAAACTAAATGAAACTCACCCATTTTTACGAGCTAACTTAACAAGACGAGCCGCACTTTCCCTCCCAATAGTCATGTGATACCAATCTTCATTAAAATACCTAGAAGGATCGACTCTCGGATAATTGTGAACTTGTAACCTGGAGGCAGGTGGACGTAATTGTGGTTGTGGTAGCATTCCTTTTCCCTCAGTGATCGCTTTGGCTTCCTTCGGGTCTTCCACTATTTTTCCGTACTTCCCCGAGAAGTCCATCGCCACAAGAATCGGCGGCTCCTGCCAATAAAACAACAACAACAACAACAACATTAACATAGTATAACATAATACAAGAATATAAGAATATTATTATTATAATAATATAAGATAAGCTGTTTAAACTTTCTGGGGATTTACATTCCTCTATGCCTGTCCGTGGCTCATAACTTCCAGGGCATACTCTCGGAATAATAATAATAAGAGATAAAATAAACTATAAACCAGAAAGAAATGGAAACAGATGAGAGAAAGAGCTTTCATTTCCAACTGGATCCCAAAGGTTTTCACGTAATCCCTAAACTTTCTGCTTCTTTATATATATCTACACTTCTATATATAGAAATACTTATACAGGATCACCCTTTTTGCTTGAGTAGTCTTATATTGCCGCTCTAAATGTCTGTGTGGCTCCAAATACCTCCAAATACCTCCAAATACCTCCAATAGGGAGCACACCTACTTCTACACCCGGAAAATCTTTGAATTTATATAAACCAATACATCGGAAACTGCTAACTCTGCAAAACCCAAGGCTTTACCTTACTCACGTACTATTTATCCCAGTTTGACTATTAAGCCACCCTTCCCTCCCAACTTCTGCTTCAGATGCATTACGCTTGTCACTTGTGACGCTCCGACTCGTTCTGATAACTTTTACCAGATTAATGTCACTCAGGATTTGTAATTAATTACACAGCCTTTGTTAGGGTAATTGATTAACGTCTACATGTAAGTTTTATCGTGTTAAATAAAATATTTCCCAACTAGCCTCGCCTTTACTCGCCGGTTTCTCAATTATTTTCTCTGCTCACCCACTTGAATTTACAAGTGACTCCTTATGTTCACATTCTATTGAAAAATCATAATTTATGTCCTCGTCAACTCCAAGAGCTCTTGACTTTTTTTTTTTTATCATTGAGTGTTTAATTTTTTTTTTTTCAATTATTATTATTATTATTAAATAAAAAATTGGTTTGATTATTCAAGTTTTGATGTTTTCAATTCAAAATTATACACTGATAAAAGGATTTAGTAACAAAATATTTAGTCATTTATTTGGGAGAAAAAAATATTTTTTACCCATCAATATTATTTGTTACAGTTTAATAAATGATTTTTTTATTCTAAATAAATTATATTAATATAAAGAAAGCCTTATTATATTAAAATAAATTTTTGTTTCCACCAAATAATATTTAGTAGTAGTTACTAAATATTTCTTTGGTAAGTATTGCCGGTAGATGGCTATGCTTTAATTCCAAATGTGATACATAACCTATTGAAAGACTCAAATTATTTTATTCAGCTCAATTTTGGGAGACTTATCTTCCCGTTGAAAATACACATACTCCCAAATGGCTTATATATCATTTCTCAGTGAAGTTTAATTTAAATTTTTCAATTTGTCTATATTATTGATATGTTAAAAAATTGTTCAATTTTAAATTTTATGAATGTCTCAAAAAATTATAATTTAATAAGATTATTTTCTTAATAATACTTTATATTTTTACTTAAAATTATTTTGGGTGACAAATTTAGGTTATACGCTTAATTTAGTTAAAAAAGTAATTTCTTTAATACCAATAAATTATTTATTGAGTAGCAATACATAATTTATTAAATACTACTAAATATTTATTTGATGAAAATAAATGGGCTTTAATAAATTATTTAGTAATTATTACGAAATTTTATTAAATAGAACTAAATTCTTCTATCAATGTACCTTTTTACAGAGAATTTTACCCTCTACAAAAAGTCCTTATCAATTTTGCCCTATCTCTGTTCCTTTCGATAAAATTTGAATTTGAAGTTCAAATAACAAGTTTTGGACTCATCCCTAGTTTTCAAAAGTTTAAAGAGATGTTTATGGCTGAAATATTAGATATCACAAAAGTATGAAGGCTTTTTTATAAATTCTCTGTAAAAAAAAGTCCTTATCAATTTTATCGTATTTGAGCTATGCTTTAAAATAGGTCACATATGTGATAAGAAACTTTAAAAAATGAAAATACACGTGTGAGTATTCATTTTCAAGATAATTTTGCTCCCTAGTGCATAGGCAGCATGACGAAAGAAAAAAAAAATGATCACTGAATATGAATAAGATTATTAGTGAGCCCACGCAAGTAAAATAAGGCGCCGACGATTTGTAATATTAAATAATGAGAATAAACGTCTGGTCTGTCTTGTGTTGTCTCTTGAGACTATGGATCATATTGAAGTGGAATCAATTTAAGCACAGTGATGATCAAGTGATGACCTCGTTTCATATTTATATTTATATTTAAATTCTAATCACTCTTTATCCTTATTTCTTTTTCTCTTTTTCTTCATCTGTTCAGAGCGAGCATTTAATTGTAAATAATACATTAAACATTCGCTCATACCCATTGTGTATAATAAATAAAATAAATAGTATTAATAAATAATAATGATAAATATAAATAACAGCGATAAAAAAAATTCTTTTATGCAAATCAAAGTATTACCGTGTGGAGTGTTTAAGGCTTTCCTTATTATATTATGTTAACTCTGCTCGGTTAAACATTTTTTTATATTTAGATTTTTATTTAACTTTGTGTGCTAACAGCAATATTTTTTATTTTAAATCCAATGGGATAGTTGTGATCTTTTATTTATAATTTATGGAATACGATAATAGTAAATAATGCGTAGGTAAATTGAAGGCTGCTTAGCACATTTACACCTAACAGCTGTGACCTATGTCTGTCCAGACATTTACAGCGCTCATTAAAAATACCACCATAAAAATTATCCGGTCTGAAAAATCACAAGGTGATTTTTTATTAAATAAATCTCGTTAATTTTCTTAGATATTGTATTAAATAACAGGCACCTAATCGTGACTCTAAGGAGTAGAGTCTTCGTCTCAGTATCGGCAACAGCTTTTACTCTACTTGACTGTATATATTATCTCTCCGTACGTCGAGACGCTCTAAGTTATTGCGTTATGTTTCATATAAATGTTGGTATAAATTTAATACACAAGTGAGAAGTCCATACTATGAAAGGATAGAATTATGAATACCGAAATATATTTTTGCAATTATATATTGTTACTTTTTTATTTATTGTCATTTTTATTTATTATTTACTGTGCTGCATAAGGATAAGGAAAGCTGTAAATATTGTTTTACTTCACTTTTATGGCTAGTGTAAAAGAAGGTTTACTCACGGGTATACTCCTTTTTATTTAGGAATTTTTTTCCGAGCTTACGTGTCGATTTTTCCCCGTTTGTGGTCCTTTTATTTGTTTATTTATTTATTACACACCTTTCTCGGTTTTATCGTTTAAATTATTGTAAATTATAAATCTTATTTGTAAGAGAGAATTTATTAAACAGTGTAAATTTATTTGTGGATTTTATGGATTTATTTTTTTATGTAGAAATAGATAATTGTGATTTTTAACTTAATTTTTTTAATTGAAAATAGCAGTCAGTAACTGCCGTAACTTTTAAAATATAAATAAATAAAATTTTGAATTATTATATAATGATTTTTGTTAAATTGCACTGTACTTTCTTAAATATTGACGTTTTTAAAGAAATAAGCTCATCCCGATTTTACACTCATCGAAAGCTTTCATTTGAGTACCCACATGCATTTTTATATATTTTTCATATATACATATATATATATAATATATATAAATATATGAAAAATTGATGTGGGTACTCAAATGAAAGGTCTCGATGAGTGTAACATCGGGATGAGCTTATATCTTTAAAAATGTCGATAGTTTACAAGATACAAGGTCATTTCTTAATTATTGACATTTTTTAAGATATAAACTCATTTCGATGTTATACTCATCGAGACCTTTCATTCAAGTACCCACATGGCATTTTTTATATAAAATATTTTATATATATGATATTTGTGAAATATATAAAATATATGAAAAATTGATGTGGGTACTCAAATGAAAGCTCTTGATGAGTGTAATGTCGGGATGAGTTTATATCTTTAAAAATGTCAATATTTCACAAGATACAAGGTCCTTTCTTAATTATGTATCTAGAGCATTTTCAAATGCAGCCTAAATACTTATCATAATAAATTGATTATCAAATTCAAGTCAAGATCTTTACAATGACACTAAATTTCATAAATAGAATATTAATGATACAGATAATTATAAAAAATTATAAAAAAAAAAATTTTATTTAGCTTAAAGCACTATAAAAAAAAAATAAAACGGAATTAATAATCTAGTGGGCGTAAATTAGCCGAAAACGTAAATCGAAGTTCCAAAAGAAAACGACCTTGGCATTGCGTGTATCCGAGCGGTAATAATTAATCAATTCTTGAAGCGTCGTTGATTAAATAATAAAAAGGTCAAAGAAATAAAGGAATCAGTGTGTCAGTTGGGCTACAATAATGTAGCCCTGATAGTCTGGCATGCTTCCCAAATACCAACTAACAACCCTCCTTCATCCTTTTATCTCTCCTCTCTCTCGTTCACCCGGAGCTAGTCATGCACAGTGTGTCATTCATTTTATCTTGAGAGAGGAATTCCTTGATTCCATTTTAGCAGAGTAGGTCTATATTGGGCAGATCCTTCAACCCCAAGCCCAAGCCCGAGCCCAAGCCCTCCGGATTCCCTTTCCCTGGCGACTAATCCGGGCGATCGACCGAGACTTGTCTGCTCCCTGGTCTCCGGATAAGACGGGGCTCGTCCCCCGAGAATACATTTATTTATATAGCGAGCAATAGATATCTCTGTCTATATATATATATATATATATATATATATATATATATATATATGCTATACGTTATACGTGACATATTATACAAGATACGCAACTTGACGGACACTGACCTATGCCTCTATCGACCGAGGTTATCCTCAAGCTGAACCGTTTAATTTAAAACGTCCACGCTTTTTTTATCGCCGCAATTATTTATCAAAATTCTCTCGATATATTTAAAAAATAATAATAATAAATATAAATTGACATGGATAAATTCAATTTATAAACAGGTTAGAGATTTTTAGTGTCAGGTTGATTTTTATT